GGAGGGAGTCTCTCATTAGCGTAGGTAATTCACCTTCCTAAGAGGTGGTAACAAGGTTGATAGAAGAGTTCTTCCATTCGTCTAGCATTGTCCACACAGGGACGTAGGTCATCTTAACCATACCACTCAGAAGTGTGGATTTTTCACACTCTTGACTGACGTAGTTAAACCAACCTAATTTTCTAGTGTAGACCAGTCCTAAGAATTTCAAAATATGAGTTCTATCGATTAGCTATGATTGGTCACAAACATCACATAAGTATTGTTCCTGTTCCCTGGGGTTCTCAAGCCCCAAGGGATTAGTAAGAGTTTAGGGAGAGTTACTGCTACAGACAAGCTTCATTAGGGAATTTTAGAGAATTTTAATCTTCTTTTGTGTGTTAATTAGCCCTTTTCTGGGCCACACATGAAGAAATTAGATAAAACCTTGCTGGAAGGTTGCAATGTAATACTAAAATATTGCTTTGAATTCAGAACAACAGCACACAAGAGCCCAGACTGCTTCCTAAGGCAGTAAGGCACAACTCACTTCACCTTACTTTAAGCTGGTTCTTTACAGACTGTCTGGCTGCTGACAGACTCAGACAATACTCATCCAAATCAAAGGGCTTTCCTCAGAACCTCCTACCCTACAAGCAGGAAATCCCTTACACTTAAAGTGATTGCTTGCCATTTTTAACCAGTTTCCAATATACCAAAGTCCATCTTTCTTAGAAAGTTAAGATTTAATGATGTGTGTCTTCATGTCCTAGTTGTGAGGGGTATGGTTAGATTCTTCTCTAACTTGTTTAACTGTCACTGTGTCAGGGTCCTGGGAACAGGTTTTGGGAACTTTTTACCCATGCTGTGTCAAATAGTGCCCCATTTCATATAAAGCATTTGTAGATTCATAGACCTTGAAGCTGGAAATGACTAATTTGATCATGTTGTCTAACTCCTGCATAACTCAGGCCATATAATTTCACCTAGTAATTCCTGCATCCCTTGGCCCGCGCAACTTCCCGCAGCCCCCATTGGCCTGGAACGGCAAACCGCGACCAGTGGGAGCTGTGATCTGCTGAACCTGCAGACGCTGCAGGTAAACAAACTGTCCCAGCCCACCAGAGGATTTCCCTGATGGGCCACTTGCCAAAGGTTGCCGATCCCTGGACTACAGGGAGGGAGTATACCTGAATCATGTGGGTTTGTGACTTTCATTTTGATCTCCCACCCAGAACCATTCATTTGAGCTATGACATTGAATTGAGCCAAATAAGCCTCTGAGGGTGTTTTTGCCTCAAAGATAGTGGATCTTTTGCAGTATCTGAACTGGGATAGATAACGGGGATAGATAACTGTTGAAAGTGTGCAGTCTTATCCAAGTCTCCTGGGCCAATTCCATATCCAGGATTCCGTCTTCCACTATGATCTCTTTCTCCAGCTGAATTTTTTTACCTCTATTAATCCTTGTTGCAGCTCATCTTGGTTAGCAAACTGGCCAAAGCCTCAATTTTCAAATCCCTAAGTATGTTATTAATGGTGGACTCTGGTGTTTTCTTTGACATACTTCTGTTTATTTACAAGAAACGCACAAAGTCCTGCTTCTCCAAATGCAGCAGGAACAAAACAAAACAAACAAAAACCCCACCATCAATAACAGGGGATAACTTCTTTGCTTACATCCCCAAGCCTCTTTAGCAGCACCTGAGCCATGACCTTCATCTAGGCTTCTCCAGGGTCACACTGTGGTTACAGGCAGCTTCTTAGCTTTCTGCCTGCCTTTGATTCTCTCTTAAGCTATGTCTACACTAGCACTTTTGTCAGTGTTACTTGCCTTTCAGTAGTGTGGAAAAGTAACCCCCCCGCTCCGAGTGTCATAAATTACACTGGCAGAAGCACCGATGTGGATAGCGCTATGCCAGCGGGAAAGGCTCTCCTGCCGACATAGCTACTGCCACTTGTTGGGGGTGGTTTAATTATGTTGATGAGAGAGCTCTCTCCCGCTGGCATAGAGTGGCTACACAGGAGATCTTACAGTGGCACAGCTGCAGTGGTACAGCTGTGCTGCTGTAAGGTCTCTAGTGTGGACATGGCCTTGGTTTCTTGTCTGTGCCCCTGCCCTTTAGACATTTTCCACACTCACAGACACACCAGTTTCCCTGGTCAGAACACTGCCCAGTGGAACCCGCTGCCCGCCTGGTGCTAGTTTCTGGGCTGACTCCATACTTCTTTTAGGTGTGGCCCTCTTAGCCATCTTTTACAACTATCTTAAGAGAAGGGATCATTCACCCATCATTTTCAACGGGAAACTCAATCCATAATATGAGCTCATAACCATATTTTCTTTTTGTATTTTGACCAGTCTAATTTTAAAAGCCCTAAAGAGGCTGGGCTTCTGTCATTCCCTGGCCAGCCTGATACTACCTTAGCACTAAGCTTCTGGGGTTTTATTACACTACCTTTACCAAAGAGCTGCATATCTGAGAATGGGATGGAGTGGAGACTTCTTCCACCCCAACTATGGGGAAAAGAAATTCAGAGACAGCAGCTTCTGCCATAGATTACTATCACTATTGTGGTCTGCAATGTCCTCCAGCTCTTATCGAGTCCTCCCATCAGTCATTTTTCTGGATGAGGTATCATTATGTTGCATTGTCTTTAAATATTTCCCCATATCTAATGAAGAACTTAACTGCATTAACAAATGGAAGCATAGGCACCAACTTCTCATGGCGCCGGAGGGTGCTCACGCGACCCCCCAGCCCCACCCTGACTCCACCCCTGCCCTGTCCCTGCCCCATCCCCATTCCAATCCCTTCCCCAAAGTCCCTGCCCCAACTCCACCCCCTCCATGTCCCTACTGGACCCCTCCCCAAATCCCCGCCACAGCCCTGCCTCCTCCCCTGAGTGCGCCGTGTTCCCCCTCCTCCCCCCCTCCCTCCCAGGCTTGCTGTCTGAAACAGCTGTTTCGCGGCAGCAAGTGCTGGGAGCCAGGGGGAAAAAGCAGGCACATGGCACAATCAGGGGAGGGAGGCGGAGGTGAGTTGGGGCAGGGCGGAGAGCTGTGCACCAATTTTTCCGGTGGGTGCTCCAGCCCCAGAGCACCCATGGAGTTGGCGCCTATGCATGGGAGAAGGACATGGCAGTGGGAGGTGCTGGTTTGGGTTGCTTTCCAATGCCAAATTCAGGTATGTGGCTTTTGAGCACAATATATGCACACTAAGAGAAGGAATTTCTCACTGAGCTTCTATGAGCTCCGTAGCTGCAGAGGCAACTGAAATACAGATAGGGCCCCTAAATCAGTGCAGAAGGCAGTATTCCATTTTAGTAATTTAATTAACCAAAAACCCTGATTTTGCAGGTGAGGAAAGTAAGAATTCTTTAGTTTTATCTGTAAATGTCTGTATAACATATTCCATTACTAATTCAGGATTCAATACATTTTTGTATGTACTTCTTTTAAAGCATATCAGCCCACCTTTTAGAAAACACCAAAAATCCCCTGTCCCGAGCCACTTAATTCTGTAGTGGCAGCAAGTACCATATCTCCCCTGCCACTTCAGTACCCTGGGCCTGATTCTCAATTCCATGACATCAATATTATGCCAGAATAGCCACACTGAAGTCAGTGGAGTTAAGGCAGCATAAAAACTGGTCCAATAGAATTGAGAATCAATCCCACAGTATGTGACTGTTATCATTTAGATTACACTCAATCTCCTAGGACTAGCTTGTGCCTATAAGGCACAGTCCTGAACAAAAACTTTTGTGTAAACTGTGCCACCACGGATAAGCCTCTGAAGCATAATTCACTCCTCGCTTCTCTCATCCTCATTGTTGTGGGGGCGGGGGGGGGGGGAAGAGTTGGAAGTGTGCGTAGTAGTTTGCTTCGGGCCTATACCAGCAGTAAATTACAACAACCCCTGCACCAGCACAGCTGTGCTAGTCAGTATGTTGGGAAGTTTATTTCAAGGCTTCCCCCATTCCCAATCTTCCGCACCCACTTCCCATCCACCACTTTCCATCTCTGAGAGGTGCAAGCTGTTGTGTACATGCAGTGAACACTTATATCTTCGTCCCTAGACCCAAGATCCAGCTAGGCCTTGCAGGGCTCAAAGGAGGTGTGTGTGCTTACTCTTCCTTATTCACCTGTGCTACTGTGGAACTCAGGGCTCATGTATCCCTTAATCAGTAATAATTCAATATTGGATGGCTGTACTAAGAAGACTAGAAGATCAAAATGTGTTCGTACTGGAGCTGCTTGATAACTTTTAGCCAAACTATTTTTCACCGGAAAATGTTGCTTCATTGAAAGCAAAACTTTTCATGCAAATGGATGTTGAGATGGAACTTTCATGGGTCCAGGATGGAATTTCTGGTGAAACTGAGAAAGCAAGCGTCAGCCCTAAGTAGCCCAGTTGTTAGGGCACTGGGGCAGGAATGTGTGGCAGAACTGGCTTCAAGTCCTTAGTCAGCTTGATTTAGATCAGGAACTTGAACTCTCCTACATCCCAAATGTATGCTATAGAGTCAGTGATTCTATGCGGGGGGGGGGAAGGATAGCTCAGTGGCCTCCTAAACCCAGGGTTGTGAGTTCAATCCTACAGGGGGTCATTTAGGGATCTGGGGCAAAAATTGGGGATTGGTCCTGCTTTGAGCAGGGGGTTGGACTAGATGACCTCCTGAGGTCCCTTCTAACCCTGATATTCTATGATTCTGTCTCCTGCCCAATGAATATTTAATTATTTATACAAAGTCAAACTGCTACAACAGGAAAGATGGACTGTCTACCCCAGTGGTTGCGACACTCAGCTGTGATGGGGGAAATCCCAGATTCCAGTCAATATTCTGAATCAGGCAGACAGGGACTTGATCTTAGGTCTCCACATCCCAGCTGAATGTTATAAGCTCTAGGTTATTGGCTATTCTAAAGTAGACAGCTCTCTCATTTTTCTGAAAAAATTCGAAAGGTCTTGGTTTAGTTCTGTATCAGAACTGAAACAAATGACGAAACTTCAAAATTGTTTGTGAAACGGAGTTCTTGTTTTCTTGCCAGCTCTAATCAGAACCCATTTGTCCCATACACAAGGGTGGACATCAATCATAAGAGCACTGATATCTGCCAAAACATTGTTTTACATAAAGCTATATAAAATGACTGGAAAATGGTCATTTCTTCTTAGTTGGTCTGTTTCTTTCTTGATATGCTGTCAAAGATTTGTCCAAAGTGACATGGAATTTACACACAAAGAAGATGCCCTGAAAATACACAAAATTATATTAAATGTCAAAATACTCGAGGACTTGTTCCACACTCCATTCACACACACACACACACACACACACACACACACACACTGTATAGGAAGATACCACATTTCATATTATTTCAGACCTTTTAACATATGGGAGTCAATATATTATAATTCAGATCTAACGTCTCATAGCATTCAGTCCAGCAGTTGAATTCCCACCACCCTTCCCTTATGTGTGGGAGAGAGAGTCTGGATAAAGGGTGCCTTCAGCTGCACAAGACCAAAAGACTCACAAACCACCAGGCCCTCCAAGCAATCCAAAGACTAGCCAGCAGCCACTTGAATCCCCTGCTTGCTGCCATCCATCATAATTGACACTGAACACCAGCCAACATTGCAGAACATTATTAGTATTTTCCTTCTTGACTGAACCAAGCCTCCAGGGTGCTGTAAGGAAGGGAAAAAAAGCCCATAGGACATTGAATAGTTTTGGTCTATGGGAAAATTTATTTCCAAGCTCAAGAAGTGATTTGGCCAGACCCACAGCCTACCTGGAGATCCAGCCACTGTGGCCACCAACTACTTCCAGTGAAGAATGGGTAGACCAGTGCTCTTTAGGGCACCAAGATGGTCAACCCAGATTAGGAGGGGGCACCCAGGCAGCAAGGGGGAGTGGCCATTTTTAAGCCAGTCAGAAACCCAGCTATAGCTATCCCTGTGCTGGTCCAAACAGCCTATCAGCACCGATGGATGAGATTGTGGGATCATTGTTCTAAAATATGAAGCCAACAAATACAACTTTTTCCAGGATTTGCCCTGTTGGTGACACATCTAAAAGGCTCATCTCACATCTTAATCCTCAGATATGCTTTTCCTTGCCTCAAATGTTGTTTTTTGCATCAGAAAGGAAATCCTGGCATGTCTTGTTGGCAAAACGTTTGTAAACTGAATAGGTTCACAACTTAAAAAGTGACTAACTCAGCTAACAAGGGCAATTTGTACCTTGAAATGTAGTTACTGCTTCAAAATTAGTTGGAAAAAAACAATGAGGTCCACCTAAGCGGATGCACTGAAGTCAAATGAGGCTAAATATGGGTACAGGTGCTGACTCACATGGAGGTTACTGTAAGATCTAGAACTAGTCAAAGCATCACAATATGAACAGTAGAAGAAGGGCAATGAATGTCATAAGAATTATATATTTAATAAACATTATTTGAAAAAAACCCCATATTGACTATATACATAAAAATGATTTACAGTAGCTAACTAGATGCATTATATTTGAATGAATAAGAGTAGGAATCAACATATTTAAAGTATAATTCAGTAAAAAGTGGAAGCAAGTTTCTTTTTTCTTTTCTTATTTCTTCAAATATGCACTTTAAAGCAGCTTTTTATTTACTGGTATTCACAAGGGTTCAGGAAAGCCTTTTGTTGTATTAATTTTGTTTTAGTTTCAAATCAAGATTATCATGTAATTGCTTTTGTAAATTCTATCTATCTATCTATCTATCTATCTATCTAATCTCCTTACAATATTTTTTCCGCTGCTTAAATTTTCAAAATAAATAATGGAGCTGTAAATAGGAGATAGTGTTTTTTTTCCCCTGTCCTCTCTTGATTTATTGCTGCTGAGCGTAAACTGATCTGGTAACAAGTGAGAATTCCCCAGTGAAATGTCCTAAAATCCAAATTCCTCATGGAGAAAGAGAAAAATATTTGAGCAGAAACAATCATCCCCATGTGTATAAGCTTTGAATAATAACAGCCTGGTTTTCACATTTCTTTTGTTCACAAGTTATCAGTCTGGTGTGTGGGAAAACATAAAAAAAGCACATATATAAAGCAAATGTGCAACAGCAAAAGCTTTAACAAATCCTAATTATTCAGGCTGTTAAGGAACAAGCTAAATAGCAGCAGTACTACACTGTAAATTCTTGAGGCTGACACAGAAGTGGTTATGACAGCTTTCACATTATCTCATTGCAGAATCGAGGCAGTAGTCGCAGCTGGCTCATATGTCAAAATGTGTCAGGACTTAAATGGTAAAACAGGAGTGCAACAGCAATTGGCTTTTCAATCAATAATGCAATCAATATATTTCACAGATATTTTCCCATATCTAAATTACTCTGCAGAGATGAGGTAGCCTGACTGAGTGTTTATAAATCAATAAAGCACACAGCTAAAGGACATCTGCTCCTGTTCTTTCACTTCAAGATGCTGTTAGACTTTTATTTCCAACACTCTCTTATTTAAGAATGTACTTTTGAGGAAAAACAGCCCTCTTCTGCACACAAATCAGTTTTGAGCTGCATTTTGAATACATGCTATTTTTTAATAATCGTGTGCTTCATTCAAATAAGTGTAAGGGACAGCTTTCACGGGTGATACAGACTTTACTCTGAGAATTATCTTTCATATTTCATTTAATATATGTTACATATACTTCAAATAAATAATTTCTAAATACTAAATACAGACAGTGAATGAAATATCTCAGGATATATATAGGCCTAAAATAACCCAGAAGATAAACCAGAATATGCTAAATTATAACTGTTTACAACAGCCTCAACTCAAAATACCATTGTTTTTGTTAATCTATTTATGAAACTGTATTTTATTTTTCATGTAATTTGATATTGACAAAAGAGGGTGCATTCAAAACCATAAACTATTATGAGAATGTTATATTAAATTGTGGAATTTACGCACTGTCTCTCTGTGTGTGAAGAAGTATGTACACAGACACATGTATTTTTCAGATTCAAATCTACAATTCCAGATAAGAGTATTACTCAGCTTCACTCTCTCTATTTATATGAATATATAACTTATATATTCATATAAATAGAGAAGATGAGTAATATATATATTTCTGTATACAGACAGTGTATACAAAAACACAAATATACAAATGGTGCAAAACAATATGAAAGCTATATATATGTGTATATATACACATACAATATTCTTGTCTGCATTATGGATTTTAGAATACATCATTAAGAATTGAAAAATAAATTTCTGAATATGTACACTTTTAATATAAAGCCTTAATATGTTACAGTCTTAAATACATTCTCCCTTGTCTACATCGAATATGAAACAAAGATGGAAAAAAAAGATACTTTCAGGTCAGACAGCCATATTCTATCAAAGTGTATATAAAAAACAGTAAATCACATTTCCTAATCCAGGTATTTCATTAAAAATATGTTGGCAAGTTGTGGAGCACCAATGAATCTTATCATGCTATAAGTTTCACTCACATTGCTGAATTATTTTCTAAGTAGCGTGTAGCATCTTCCTGCATTATGAGCTCCATTCTCACAGGACAATATTTGCTGAAGAGTAGATGCACAAATTAAGAGGACTGTGGCACTCTTAACTCAAATGCTGCATACATGTGATTGATTAGTAAGGCTTACGCAGTCACATCTACTGCCATTTTATAGTATTTTAGAGGTACAGGAAAAGCTGTGTTATCCGTCACTTTACAAACCAGAAAGCTCTATAAACTGGCACTTTGGGAGGGGATGCGGGGCAAGGACTCTGGGAAGGAGTTTGGGTGCAGGAGCAGGCTTGGGAGAGGGGGTTTGGGCATGGGAGGGGTTTTGCAGTGCCAGATCCGGGTGGCGCTCACCTCGGGCAGCTCCCTGAAAGTAGGGACATGTCTGGAGAGGCGCTGCCAGCACCACCCCTGCAGCTCCCATTGGCCATGGTCCATGCTCCTAGGTAGAGGAATGGCCACTGGCTCCACAGCTTCTATTGGCTGAGGACCACGGCCAATGTGAGCTGTGGGAGCGGCACCTGTGGGCGGAGGTAGCGCACAGAGCCACCTGGCTGCGCCTCTCCAAACATGTCACCTCTTGTGGGGAGCTGCCCAAGGAGAGTGCCACCTGGATCTGGCACCCCAAAACCCCTACTGAACCCCAACCCCCTGCCCCAAGCCCCCTCCCTCACCCAAACTCCCTCCCTCTTCATTAACCAGACTTTTGACTTACCGGCACCCCCTATTCCCTCAACAAAGCTTTTACTGTATTGTGTTAGGGTGACCAGATGTCCCAGTTTTATAGGTACAGTCCCAATATTCATGGATATGTCTTCTGTAGATGCCTATTACCTGCAACCCCGACCCCCGTCCCAATTTTTCACACTTGCTATTTAGTCACCCTATATTGTGTTAACTTTTCCTCTGTGTTTTTCATTTTAAACTCATAGTATAATGTAAATACGATTTGGAATTGAAATTATGAGAAATATTTGCTGTATATCGGAAATAGGGTTGCCAACCCTCCTGGTTTCGTCAGAGTCTCCCAGAATCGGGCTCTATCTCCTGGAGGCTACTGAAGCCAAACTGGGAGATTTTAGGCTGCTAAAGGTCCGGTGGTGCAGCCGGTCTAAGGCAGACTCCTTGCGTACCCTGGCCCTGCGCCACTCCCAGAAGTGGCCTGGGGAGGGGCAGGGGATCTCCGCACACTGTTCTCACTCCAAGTACTGACTCCGCAGCTCCCATTGGCCAGGAACTGTGGGCAATGGGAGCTATGGAGGTGGTGCCTGCATGCAGAGGCAGTGCAAGGAGCCCCCTGCCCTCCCTCAGGGGCTTCAGGGACATGCTGGACACTTCTGGGGGCGGCATGGGGCAAAGGCAGCAGGGACCCTGCCTTAGCCCTGCTGCTCCGCCACCTGGGAGCCACCCGAGGTAAGCAGCACCTGGCCAGAGCCTGCACCCCGCACCACCTCCTGAACCCCAACCCCAATCCTGGAGCCCCCTCCTGCACCCAAAGTCTGTCCCAGAGCCCACACCCCTCACCCCCACCAGCACCCCAATCCTCTGCCCCAGCCCTGAACCCCCTCCCAGAGCCCAAACCCTGCACCCCTTCCTGCACCACAACCCCCTGCCCCAGCCCTGAGCCCCCTCCAGCAACCAAATTCCGTCCCATAGCTTGCATCCTGCACCCCCTCCTACACCCTAACCCCATGCCCCAGCCCAGTTACAGTGAGTGAGGGTGGGGAAAAGCAAGCAACAGAGGGAGGGGGGATGGAGTGTGCAGGGTGTGGCCTCAGAGAAGGTGCCAGGGCTGGGAAGGGCCTCAGGAAAGGGGCAGGGCAGGGGGCGGAGCAAGGGTGCTTGGGTTTGTGTGATTAGACAGTTGGCAACACTAATCTGAAGACATATTTTGACCCATGCAGTTTGTCTGGATACAGCAAAGCGGCAAAAATCTAGAAAACCTTGTTTCAGACCAATATTAAAGACTAGGGGCTTAGACCAAACAAACAAGCAAAAGCTTTTTTTAGGGGTGGTTGCAACCAAATATTTTCTCAGCTTTGAGTACTAAGAAAAAGGAGATTTCGTCTGACAATTTCTAAACTTCTTTCTGGAGATCTTTCAGCGTAACAGAGTTTTACAGAAATTTTGATTACATGAAGGTTTCTCTTAGAATCTTATTCCATCCATTCCTGTGACATGCATTTTTATTATAGTTTTCCTGGTCTGTGCAAGCCATGTGAATTCCATTCCATAAAAATCACTTAGCAAGTAACATGATGTGTTACTATGAAAGTATTTAGGATATGTGGTTAAAGTAAAAGGATAGTGTGGGTAACAATGAAGCACATCACTGTATAAATGACCTATTTATAATCCAGTATGTTCTGCTTTTACAGTATATTTTGAATTTTAGGGGCTTTGCTTAGTCTTTCCTCAGGCTGTGATCAATGCCTTCAGGTTACCATTCTGATAAGGTACTGGTAGGTACTGGTACATCATGGTACTGGTAGGTTCTGATTTCACTTATGCTAGTGTAAGGGCAGGATAATGTCATCAAAATCACTGGAATTAACACCAGTATAACTGAGATCAGAAATTGTTCCAGAGACTTGTGAAAAATTATATCTGTGACTTCATCCAGGCTGGCAAATATATTTTATATAGTTCATGTATCATTTACACATTAGACCATAAGTGGTCTTTTGAGGCCAAATAATTCCATGATACTGACATGACTATTGATTTAGAACTAAGAAGGTTTGGGCTTGAATTGGAACCAGAAAAGAGCTATCTAATTTCAGAACAATTTTCGAAATCACCTAATGTAAGAGGGAGATAGGTCCCATGTTGCCATTAAAAATTACCTCTGCCTTTCTAGTTCTAGGCCAGTTAGATAATGTGTTTGAACTGTTAGGCATGCCTTTTACCCCTTGTCTTATTGCCTTGCTGGAAGTATGCAACAACTCCATGGCTGCTGTCACTGCAGACCTGGCTGCACCTGCAGTGCAAAGAGACTAGACTGAGGGAATTAATCGTGCCCCGTAAATGCACAGAGTTATTAGATGTGTATTAGACAATGTTTATGGTCACTGGACGCTTTATGAGATTTCAGTATTAACATTATTTTGATCAGGCTGCTGCAATGGCTGAAACTGTTGATTCTTAAAAATAAGTAAAATTTAAAAAAGCTTTTGAAAACAATCCATTGTTTTAGTGTGTTTCAGTGAGTGAGCACTATTGAATCTTAAGTTACAAATTCCTACAACTGTTGATAAGGTCATTCCTAGTCAGGAAGGTAAAATTTGGTACATGATGTATAGTTCTCACTGCAAAAGTTCTCTAGTTGTTTTAAAAAGCTAGATGTAATGGGTTCAAAATTAAGAAAAAAATATCAGGAAACTTTTTCTTACTGTGAGATTATGAGGGAGTAGAGAAACTGCTGTCCGGCACAGCAGGTATTAAAGAAAACCTCTACCTGCAGCCAATGTCTGGCCTAGAGAGGAGAGAAAAAAAGGGAGCCTGTATCAGTTGGGGGCTGACTGGTGAGAAAGCAAGAGCTCTCTGTCTGCCTGCCCAAAGGGACGGATTAGCGATCTGCCAATCTGTGCTGCCTCTTGAGGCAAGCAAGGACTCCCCTGCCAAGGGGAACCTGCAAATAAGCCCCAGTCATGGGGCAATTGGGCTAGTGGGGCCACATCCCAAAGTAAAGAGATTTGTAGTAAGTAGCCCAGCAAAATCGGAATTCTAAACTCATATGGTAGCCTCAGGTACGTTAGCTGTCCCAGAAGCTGGGAATGGCTGACAGGGAGTGGATCACTTGATGCTTATCTGTTCTGTCCATTTCCTCTGGGGCACCTGGCATTGGCCACTATCGGAAGACAGGGTAGATGGACTTTTGGTCTGACCCAGTATGGCTGTTCTTATGTTAGTGGATCTGTGTTATGGTATTGTTAAGGATTTCAGAGCCATTAAGGAATGAACGTATCACATGGAGACAACTTGTGGTGTTTAGATGTTGCTTGTAATTATTAGAATTGGGAGCATTGGCTCTTGGGAGTCTGAAAGGACAGGAAATAGGAAGGAGTGGGGAGGAATTATAGAACCATAGAATATCAGGGTTGGAAGGGACCTCAGGAGGTCATCTAGTCCAACCCCCTGCTCAAAGCAGGACCAATCTCCAATTAAATCATCCCAGCCAGGGCTTTGTCAAGCCTGACCTTAAAAACTTCTAAGGAAGGAGATTCTACCACCTCCCTAGGTAATGCATTCCAGTGTTTTACCACCCTCCTAATGAAGAAGTTTTTCCTAATATCCAACCTAAACCTCCCCCACTGCAACTTGAGACCATTACTCCTTGTCCTGTCCTCTTCTACCACTGAGAATAGTCTAGAACCATCCTCTCTGGAACCTCTCAGGTAGTTGAAAGCAGCTATCAAATCCCCTCTCATTCTTCTCTTCTGCAGACTAAACAATCCCAGTTCCCTCAGCCTCTCCTCATAAGTCATGTGTTCCAGACCCCTTATCATTTTTGTTGCCCTTCGCTGGACTCTCTCCAATTTATCCACATCCTTCTTGTAGTGTGGGGCCCAAAACTGGACACAATATTGCAGATGAGGCCTCACCAATGTCAAATAGAGGGGGACGATCACGTCCCTCGATCTGCTCGCTATGCCCCTACTTATACATCCCAAAATGCCATTGGCCTTCTTGGCAACAAGGACACACTGCTGACTCATATCCAGCTTCTCGTCCACTGTCAGCCCTAGGTCCTTTTCCACAGAACTGCTGCCTAGCCATTCGGTCCCTAGTCTGTAGCTGTGCCTTGGGTTCTTCCGTCCTAAGTGCAGGACCCTGCACTTATCCTTATTGAACCTCATCAGATTTCTTTTGGCCCAATCCTCCAATTTGTCTAGGTCCCTCTGTATCCTATCCCTGCCCTCCAGCGTATCAACCACTCCTCCCAGTTTAGTATCATCCTCAAATTTGCTGAGAGTGCAATCCACACCATCCTCCAGATTATGAAGATATTGAACAAAACCGGCCCCAGGACCGACCCCTGGGGCACTCCACTTGACACCGGCTGCCAACTAGACATGGAGCCATTGATCACTGATCACTGACATCC